GACTTTTCTCAATATTGGCCGACTTTGTGTAACAATTCCGATATTGGCTGAGATTGTTGATTATATTGCACGGGCCGTTTATTACATATTACAGCAATATCTACATAGTTAATTAATAATGGATAATTAATAATGGATAATAAATACTCAAGATTTTTAGGTCACCTGAGACAAAGTCTAAAGTGACCTATTGCGATCGCCTTTTGTCCGTCGTCATCCGTCATCCGTTCGTAAACAATTTTGAGTTTCGACTTCTTCTCCAAAATCCCTGAACCAATTTCAATGAAATTTTGCAGGGACCTTCCATGGACAAGGTCAACAAAAATAGTGGCCGGTTTAGTCCCAAGCCCCCAGGGGCCTGAGGGGCGGGGCCAAAAAGGGTCAAATTGACTAAAATTTCAAAAATCTTCTTCTCCAAATCCCCTGAACCAATTTCAATGAAATTTTGCAGGGACCTTCCATGGACAAGGTCAACAAAAATAGTGGCCGGTTTAGTCCCAAGCCCCCAGGGGCCTGAGGGACGGGGCCAAAAAGGTTCAAATTGACTAAAATTTCAAAAATCTTCTTCTCCAGACTAAGAAGTACTACAGTGATTTTCTCTATGTGGAAAGAAAGATCATCAGTAGCTTTACTTAAATTGTAAATTTCACGACCCCCGAACTATCCGTGCTCACTTGGGGAGGGGGTAAAGTTTACTATAGTTTATATAGGGAAATCACATTTTGGACCAACATTTGTTTAATTTCCATTGGAAGTAATTCAATTTGGGTTAGCATTATCAGTATTAGGTAGCAGTTTGATAGTATGCACATATGAGCCCTGAGGGGCGGGGCCAAAAAGGTTCAAATTGACTAAAATTTCAAAAATCTTCTTTTCAAGACCTAGATATGGTAGAATTTAATACTCTTCATATATGGAAGAGTCTTAAGGTGCTTTACCAAAATTGTGATTGCCCCTGGGGTCTCACATTTCCCCCTGGGGAGGGGGTAAACTTTACTATAGGTTATATAGGGAAATCACATTTTGGACCAACATTTGTTTAATTTCAATTGGAAGTAATTCAATTTGGGTTAGCATTATCAGTATTAGGTAGCAGTTTGATAGTATGCACATATGAGCCCTGAGGGGCGGGGCCAAAAAGGTTCAAATTGACTAAAATTTCAAAAATCTTCTTCTCCAGACTAAGAAGTACTACAGTGATTTTCTCTATGTGGAAAGAAAGATCATCAGGGGCTTTATTTAAATTGAAAATATCAGGACCCTGAGCTATCCGTTCTCCCTTAGGGAGGGGTTAACGTTAACTATAGTTTATATAGGGAAATAACACTTTTCGGTATATATTTTATCCATTTTCAGCAGAAAATTGCTCTAACTTAGTCAGAATCATCTTGGGTAAATGAGAGTTTTACTTTGTAAAATTAGGATTCCTGCCCCATCCCCAGGGGCTAGGGCGGGGCCCCAAAAGGAACATTTACCAATATTTTCAAATTCTTATCCATTGATGACATGACAAGTATTGTATTTCACTTAGTTTACATGCTGATTTACACATCACATCTAAACAATAAAATAAAGCTACCAGTACCTATGATATAACTCAGGTGACCGCTAATAGGCCCTTGGGCCTCTTGTTACTTTTGTATGCTGATATGCAATTAGATTTTAAACTTATGTTGGTAGCATTGCTAGCTTATGCATGTGAAGTGTGGGGTATGCATAAGGCTTATGATATCAAAACAGTGTATCTTTATTTTTTTAAGAATATACTCGATGTAAAGAGGTCAACAATCGGTGCTGTGGTGTGTTGTGAGCTTGGTAGATATACTCTTTCTCTGTGATCAGGAAGTTAAGGATCTTTCAAAACTGGTGTAAATTTATGACACATAATTATATAATTAAAGGTTGCTATGACTATTTGTTAAATACTTATGAAGCAAATCCAAATTGTTAAACTGGGCAGCAAATGTAAAAAGAGAATTGTCAATGTTAGGTATGGGACCAATGGCAATATCAGCAAAGTATTGACTTCAGTTACTTTCTCTCTGTAGTCAAACAACAACACTTGTATGATATGTTTCAGCAAAACCTGTTTACCAATTTTTCCACTTCATCAAAGTGTTACTTGTACCGATACCATGTAGACACTGTAGACATGCAAAGATATTTATCACAGTCAATTTTCTGAAATACAAGAAAGTGATTTGTAGTTTTTCATTTGTCTGCACACTGTTTTAAAACAATTGAAACCAGGAGATACAAAAGCAGGCTAGCTGTTTCTGACCGTATATGTCCTACATGTGTACTGCTGAAGTAGACGATGAATTCCACTTTGTTTTTTTAATGTGAAGAGAACATTCTGACTGATCATATACATTGTACGTAGAACAAAAATGACCACATGGACATAATTTTTTTTTGCATTTTCTACTACATTGTATGCTATCAACTCCTTTAACCAAAAAGGTATATAAGAAAAACGTTAAATATGTGAATTTTTTAACTTCCAGAGTACATCCTTAACAAGAACTGCCGTTTTTTTTTAATCTTTCATTTCGTCACATTGACAACTAATCTTGTCAAAGCGAAACTAGGTGCATATTTTATCATACAATGTGGCAAAATAGATTGTTAAATCACACAGTTTGCGGATGATGTGCAGACTAAGTGCATGATGTGTACATTGTAAGTTTTGTACATTGTCAATCACACAACTGAAAGACACCAAGTTGTTAGTTTATTCTCCTCATACTTGATCATCATTTGACACTTCAGACCTGATCATTATGCAATAAATTCAATTCATGTATAGTTTACTGAAAAAAATGATCGTCATTTGACACTTCAGACCTGATCATTATGCAATGAATTCAATTCATGTATAGTTTACTGAAAAGTTTCACATGCAGGAATCCATTTAGGTCAATACCTTCCATTGTGCTAGCTGACAGAAAAAAATGCTATACTCTATCAAAAAGGGAAGCAACTCCTGTTTCATTGAAATCTAATTTTATCACAATCAATCAGCAAGCCCTACGATAAGACAATAAATGCATCAATTCTGTGAGCTGCCTACCGAACACTCAATCAATAGCCGCCTGAAATTCTTACTGGCATTTCATTTCTTTTGTCCTCCTCGTCACTCAATAAAGTAATGACCATGGTGATAAAATTATAGTAGATCTCTGTCATGGTTGATGACAGAAAATTACTCAGTTATTGGTTCAATTCGTCCAATCACTTTGCCCAACAGGGCTGTTTACTCTCGTTGTGCTGTCTTTATTTAGACTGGCTGTAGCAGATTACAAACACCGGTCAATATTCATTATTGGATATTGATGATGTAGCCCCTGTAAAAACAACAATTTTGTACTAGAATTATCACCGGATTAGATTAATGTTGTAAGAGGCACAACTCCATACATTTAATTGGCCTCTTTGTATCGGAGAAATGATCACCCTGGTAACCTTATATATAATATCCATATAATAGCCTCAGTGCCTGTAGTGTACTGATACTCCGACCCCGTGAATATGTATATTTATTACCATACCGATACACTGTTCTGGCATCCTATAGGCAGGCTATATTTGGAAAAAAAATGGTTTTGTAATTTGTTAGGTCAAATTTTACATTTCAGATTGAAATCAATGTGTATAGTTCGTAGATTGATAGGAGTGAAGATTTGACTCGGCGATAAATTCAGACCTAAGGAGATTGTTAGATTCTATATACCTTCACTGCTTGTTATATTTACACCAATATCAGTGGCATTAAAATCCTCTTATTTCTGTTAGTTAAGCTGACTATGCTTAGAGATCACAATTCCCCAGTTGACTGTTTGATTATTCTATATATCTAGTCATCCAAAACTCTCAACTATAGCTATCAATTATTCAGCTCGCCAATACAACTACAATAGTCCACTGTCTAATCTCTGGGGCCCCCACGCTGAGCTCGTGGGATCTCTCAATTCTACTACAGTACAAATCAACATAAAACTCAGCCTCCTTCTGAGGGTCCATTGCCCAATGTTTTGTCATCTCTAATTGTTATGCTCTGTTTCTATTTAGAAAACCCTTGGTCCCTAAGTTGAGTGACTCCAATGTTCTGGTCCGTCGCATGGTGTCGGTTTTGGCAGAAATTTTTGGCTGCTAAGCACATGATATTGAATCAGTCTTCTAGAGCTCGGAGATGTGTGTTATGGACATTTATCGTTGTCTTCTGGGTCTTAGATTTCACTCATTTGCAATAAATTGATTAATGTGCTGAATACGCTATTGATCAGATTTTTTTTTCAGTTTTGAAGTATAAGACATTCACTAACCTCAATTTCTTTGTATGGATTTGTTGATTGTGTAATTTGGCCATATAATAAAAACCCTATGCGTGAAATAATTGATAAATAAATACGGTATGAAGTGTTTCATTTCTTAGCAGGCTTGTAACGAGACTTGTGCACTCAAATTCATAAATATACGAGCACACGGATAGGCGACTACTGTATCAACCTTGCCACCTCTGGCTGGAACGCTGTATATCAGCTCATATGTCACTCGGTTCATGTACCATAATGGGGAAACAGGTATAGAACCTTTATGTTCAGGCAGTAGGCTTAGCTCAAGTTTTGAATGATCAAACCAACAGAGAATCGGAGAGACTGAACTGAAGCAGAGAGCTGTTTATTTTACATCGACGCAATCATCAGTGCAAGTCTTTACTGTTTACATAAATACAGATCAATATTGGAGAGGAAGGGCTCGCCTTTGAGAGACAGACTCCATGGTTTTGTGATGCTCCTGGAATCGTCAAACAGTAGGTACTACTGTAGATTGTTATCAATCTCATGATCTCCGTAATGTTGAGAGACTGAACTCAGTTTTAATCAATGGATAAGCCCTACCTCCCACATCCCTGCGTGTCAGTTGGAATGGTACGTTCCATGATGGGTATATCCTCTGAGTACTGTGATCCACTCCACTGTGCAGTGAGATAGGTACGGACAAAGGTCCAGTCATATATACTGTTTCATACATACATTGGTATTAGTTATTCATGAGCATGTATCACTTGACAGAGGAGAGTTCCAAACAGCTCCAACAATGACAGTGTTGGGTAAAGATTTCCTGGAGCATACACTGATCTCCGACTGCTATCAGGAACAAGGCAGCAGCTGAACACCTTCTTCAACCTGCTGTCACAAATCTAAGTCATTGGGTGTCCTGGTTTATATCTACACCTTCTGATCAGAATTTATTCCTTGATTTCTATTACTCCGATATATCTTGGATGCTTGATTACTTCAGTAGTATTCTATGTTCAACCTGAAGTGATTCCAGAGAGTTATCGTCTGATTTCTTTATTTGGTAAATTGAATTTGAACTGTGATATTGTTAACGCAGTACATGTGCTGTAGTCCATAGTGACAACTTTTATCCTATTTATCGTTACTGTCTCGTCATTGTGTATTGGTGAATTGCTTGTGTCTTTAGTGACTGTACTACAGTGGTAATAGCAATTCATAATTTAACTGTAAAGATAATCATTTTTTGTGTGTTTAGTAATTGAATCTAGTGACTAATTTGAGAAAATTGGATTTGAAAAAGGAAAAAAAAAGTTTTGGAAAATGCATTCTTGGATAATATGTGCGATGTGTGTTTTGTTATTCGTGTCTCAGTGGCATGTTGTTGATATGAAACGACAGCAAGGCCAAGGTCGAAAAGGCAAACTGCCCAAGAAACTGGACATCAACGAGAATGTGTAAGTACACCTTCATTTTATCTTTAAAAAACTTAAATGACTGTTCGACTGTTGAGGTCAGCATATGTATACATTCTGAGTTAAAATACATCGCTATGTAATGTACGTATCATACCGTGATACTATTGGTCTTCCATGGAGACTGTCAGGGTTTGACACCATCCAGATATTAGAGGTAATGTTATATCTTGTCTGTCATTGAGATCTTCGGGGCTTAATATTTCCAGATACATAACAAGGCTGTACTCGGGTCCCATTTTAAGTGTAACACACACCTCTGTGTAGACCAATGGAATACGATTATAGTTACAGCCAAGACAGAGGATGCTCATGATTTAGATTTAGCACAGATATATTTTAATGACTTCTATTTCAGCTGATCTTTGTCTGTCTTGTATATTAAATTATTTGCTGGTGGACAAAGGGAGATTTCTTCCTGGAGTTTAATAAGTTATACACCCTCAAAGTCCTTAATATCAATTATACACCCTCCAAGTTCTTTATATCAATTATACACTCTCAAAGTTCTTAATATCAATTATAAACTCTCAAAGTTCTTAATATCAATTATACACCCTCAAGTTCTTAATATCAATTATACACCCTCAAAGTTCTAAATATCAATGATACACCCTCAAAGTTCTAAATATCAATTGTACGTACACCCTCAAAGTTCTTAATATCAATTATACACCCTCAAGTTCTTAATATCAATTATACACCCTCAAAGTTCTAAATATCAATTGTACGTACACCCTCAAAGTTCTTAATATCAATTATACAAATGTACACCCTCAAAGTTCTAAATATCAATTATACACTCTCAAAGTTCTTAATATCAATTATACACTCTCAAAGTTCTTAATATCAATTATACACTCTCAAAGTTCTAAATATCAATTATACAC